GGAGCCCTGGGGGGAGGGCAGGGCAGGGATGCAGGGATGCACTCCCTTGGGAGAAGGCCCACCTGCAGGGCTTCCTCGGCAAGGAAAGGAGAATCACAGGCTACCTCAGGGCCCAGGCCTGTGGGGGTGCCCAGGCCCCTGCGGGCGGGAGGGGCAGGGTGAGAGACAATCCCCTCCTACATCACAGGCAGCAGACACATCTCCATCCAGCTGCAGCCACACCGGTCTTTCCGAATTCCTTCCTGCCATGATGGGGGGCTGTCCCTTCACCCCGACCCTGGCCCCCGGCACCCGCCCCTTCTGCTCTGAGTCCTAGCCCCTCCCCTTTCTCTCTTCCTCTTCTCTTTCCCACCTTCTTCCCATCAGCCCTGAAAGCATTTAAATCTCCCAACTAAAAAAAACAAGTAAAACATCTCAACTCAAGACCTTCCCTACCGTCGTCCCGTCTGTCCCTGTTCCTCCCAGTGAGACTTCTGGCTGGAGCCCCCCACGGCCAGCGGTGCCCAGCCCTGGGATCAGCAACAAGCCGCCTGTCACTGGACCTGGCGAGCTGGCCCGCCTGTCAGGGCCTCCTGCCCTGCTGGGCGCTGTGTTTGTGCTCCTTATGCCCACCCCCCTCCCAGGGGCATCTCACGTAGAGGCCCTTCCTCTGAGCAGCCTTTCCCGATGCCCATGGCCTGTTAGCAGCGTCCGCACATGAGGGACTCGCCTTGTCACTGGTCTAGCTGCGAGCTCCCTGGGGGCAGGGAGTGTCTGGTTGCCATCCCTTCCCAGCTCCCTGCCCAATGGCAGCTGCAGTGGGTCCTCAGTCCAGGCCCTGAGTGGCTGGAAGGACAAATGCCACTGACATCCTCTGTGTGGGGTACGCGGATGCTGCAGGGCGGACACCCCAGAAGGCCAGGTCTCCTTCCACTCGTCGCCTGGGCAGAGGCTGGCTGACCCCGCTGGGGTCCAGGGTAAAGTCTGGCCTTCGTTGGGGAGCAGGGACTAGAAGAACCAGCAGCATTCTGAAGCTAAAGTTCAGTGTCTCCGTCTGCCCGGCACTGGGCCCTTACCTGTGACCCCCCCACCAGGCCCCCCAGCCCCCACGCCCAGCCCTGGGCAGGCTCTCCCTGCTGGGGGTCCTGAGCCCTCTCCAGAGACCTGC